GACTTTTTAATTCCAAGATAAAATAGTCAAAAAATCAAAAATTCAACCCATATTCCAAACGAACCCTAAGACAAAATATCACATCCAAACCATAATCATTCATTTTTTCTCTCACAAAAGTCAAAAAAGTCAAAAAATTTATCCCAAACGAGTTTAATCCCAAGCTAAAATAGCCAAAAGGTTAAAAAATCAACCCACATCTCAAACGAACCCTAAAGAAGTGTAACTAGACTCGTGAAGTTATCACAAATCTTATTTTGATTTTATTAGTTTTTCATCATGCCGAGTAAAATTGGATTTCTTTCAAATTTATATACTATAAATATAAGAGAAATTGAGGAGTTTATAAAATTCACTATAAATCTTGTTTTGATGATACAAATAATTCATTTTATAGGAACTGTTATATATATCATTCATAAAAAATAAAAATAAAAATAAAAATAAAAACAAAAAAATCGATTCATGATCAGAGTATTTTTATTTACTGTATATGATTTAAGAAAAAACTAATTACTCGGTATTTATTGTTTTTAGAGATAAATTTAATAAAATAAAAATATTACCATCCGAGCACATAGAAAGCAAATAAAAGCCCGTGGAAAGAAAATAATAAATGTAAGAACAGAAAAGTTGCAAATAGCACATAGAAAAACTTTCCGGGAAAGTTCAAAGGAGGTGGTCGTTCCGTCCAGCAACCCACCATATTCCAAAGTTGGTTGTGATATTCTAAATAAATAAGTGTACTTTTTGAATTTTTAAATTAGAAAGTTGAAGAAAAAAAAGATAGTTATTTGAGTTAACTTTTTACGACAATGCTACGTAGCTCAAATTTTGTGGCTCAAAAGTTGCTCAAATGGCCAAAACGACGTCGTTTTGAGTACAGAACAACATAAAAATGGCCAAAACGACGTTGTTTTGGCCATTTGAGCCACTTTTGAGCCACAAAATTTGAGCTACGAGTCATTTTCCAACTTTTTAACTTTTTACAAAAACAATATGTATTAAAAAATTATATAAATTAGTGTCTAGGAGAAGTTTGTGTATTGTAGGCTATATGGTAGGCAGCGTAAGAGATGCTTGCCTCCTTTTCAAGCATTGAATTGGACGGTGTTGTTTGGCCCGTGAGAGCCCACCACGGGTCCCGTTTTGCTAATCGGAACCGTTCAATGTGTAGAACTCGTCGAGTATTATATATTTATAAAAAATTACATTGATCGGATATTGATAGCTATCTGATCGGATTAATTTTTTGTCAACCGTTAACTATAACACCATCTATTTTTTTTATATAAAACTGATTTGATCATGTAGTTATCGATATCCGATCAACGTGATTTTTTACAAGCATATAGTACTCAACGAGTTTTAGACATTGAACGATTCAGATTATCAAAACAAGACCCGTAATGGGCCCCCACGAGCCGAACAACACCATTCTGGATTAATTTTTTTGTGCACCCCGCGTTGTAAATTTGCACCTCTTACCATCACTTCAATATGTATGGCTTGTACTTGGCCATCACTGACATCACTTCACTACTGTGTATGTTGTACTTGGGGGCCTGTGTAATTTGTTCTTTTAATATATATTTTTTTGGTAAATAGTGATAACTTTTTAGCTTTTTTAGTAACTTTTTGACTTTTTATCTTTTTTAGGCTAGGTTTGACATCCCTTAAAAAAGTTAAAAAGTCAAAAAATCACTATTCTATTTAAGTCACATCATCTTATTTAAGTCACATTACCTCTCTAACACATCACTTCAAATCTAATCTAAACTCAACTCATATTTTATAAAAAGTTAAAAAATACACTTATTTAGATCATTTCAAGCAATCCTTTAATATATGCCAAACGAGGCCCAAATCGACCAATTGCGTGGAACGTAATGTTGACAACTTGGCAACTTCCTTTGAAACTTCACAACATTCGAGATTATGGTATAATTTTCTTTCTCTCTCTACTATCAATTCCACAAAAACCAAACAAAATAGGTATTATGGAAAAAAAAATATTATGAACATAATCATAAAATATTGTTAATCATTAAATTATACATATAATAAAACACCACATGCTAATTAAATGATAAAAAATATTGATGAATTATTTCATCATATTTTTTTTCATTATAGCTAGTATTATTCAAGACAAACCAAACTCATATATCTCCATAGGTATATGAATGAATTGAACCATACATATATACATACAACTTGACAAACCCACTCCCCAAATCTTCCCTCTTTGAAGCCCAAGGCCACCCTTATCGGAAAAATGGCCGAAATGTTGCCCGGAGTAGAGATGCATCGGAGGAGATCAAGGACGACCAATCCTCAACGCCTCCACGAGGACACTCCTTACGCCCCTGGCCACCCCTTTTACAGATCTATGATGCCTACCTCCACCTCCGCCATGGATGAAGCTGCTCTCAAAGCTCACAAACGCCTCGCCCAGAAACTCGGCTATTTCCGCCCTACAAGGTTTTCTCTCTTTCCTAGTCTTTGTATAAATGAAGCAATTTTTCATTGCATAACTGTTCTTGTGTGGATATTTTTAGAAATCAAAAAATGTTTTACAAAACTTTACCAATTTGGTTGTGGATTATATATACAACTTCTGACTTGTTTTGTTAATAACAGCGTGAATAGATTTCAATCAAAAGAAGGTAGAGGCAGAGATGATAGTGATGCTCACTTGGTTTCAAGAATACTAGGGAGAACATGGCACTTCTAAAGCACTAACTCTAGCCAATCAAAAGGGCAGCTTTGTGTTGGTTGCTTGGAAGATTTTTTAGCAGAGCATAAGCAAGTCATGGAACTTCCATGGTCCCATAAATACCACTCAAAATGTCTCGAGCCGTGGCTCGCTGTTCATCCCAATTGCCCCAGCTGTCGAAGCCCCCGTTTTGTCCTGACTAATGTCAACTTTTATGTAGTCTTCGATTTGCTAGAATGAATTTCGGACAGCAATTGAATTACTAGTCCTTGTTATACTGTGAATGGTAATTCTGAATTTTATTAACATACATAGTCCTTTTGTGCCCATGGTTGTTGCAATTAAAGTGATATGAACAGAAAATTAAGATGGGATTCCCATTGATCCAATTTGGTTTGGGTATACTCTGTTTGGATTTTTTTTGGAAATATTTTCAAATGAAATTGTGTCCAAGTGGATGTGAGTTGACTTTTTTTACTTTTTTAGTCTGACATTAAAATGTTTTGTTTGAGATGAATTTTTTGATTTTTGTGAGGAAAAAAAAATAATTATGATTTGTATGTGACATTTTATTTTACTAATTTTTTAACTTATTTTTTTTTTTTTTGTGATTATTTTAATCCTGTAATCTTATGCCAAATGAGTGCTAAGATATCAAGATTCAAAACTTTCAGTTGGTACATAAAAAAAGTGCAATGCAGAGAATTTTTGATTGCATTTGGTTTAGTTTTGAAATTATGATTCTTTTTTTGGAATTGTAATTTGAGTGTGAAATTATGAATTGAGTTTTGAAAAGAGAAAATTTATTTGGTTATGGGTTTTAAAATGAGTTTTGAAATGAATTTTTAAATTTTTAATTTTGAAAATGACGGATTGAGTCTACTCTGATATTCTCCCGATCGTCCTCCTGGGTGTGCAACCGGTTGACCGGCGGAACAATGCAACTTTATTTTATTTTATTATTATTATTTTTTTTTGCAATGACAACCTGTTATTTTAAATATATATATATATATATATATATTTGTTTTAGATATTTTTTAAATATAGAAATTTTTTTTTTTTAATTTTTTTTAGAAAAATAATTTAACAATCCCATTACTAACCATCGTCAACACTGTATCATCAAAATAGTTTTGAAAAGAGTTTTAAATTGAGTTTTGAGTTGTGTATTTGGTTATAAGTTTTGAAATTAATTTTTAAGGTGAATTTTGAACAATTTTGAATTGTATACTTGGTTATGATTTTCAAAAAATAATTTGAAAATTTTGTCTTTAAAAAATAATTTTAAACACAGGCTTTGTGTCTCTGGTGAGGATCTTTTTCAAAGGGCAGAATGCTCTTGCGTGAATATTTGTGTCATAAATTTTGTCTTCGTTTTTGTATTTTGTTCCTGTGTATTTGTAGTTGCATTGTTTGTATTGTCAAGTTGGCTTAATATTGTCCTTGCAAGTGATGTGTGGATTGAGAGGGCAAGTTTCTCAAAGAGGCTACATTAGGCCATTTTTTAAGGTAGGCCATGTTGGGTCGAGACCTAAATCCACCAACCTAGATGAAACAGGGTGAACCAACTCAAAGCTGATTTTGACTTATGATTTAGCCTAGTTTGTTTCGAAAAATATTTAAAAAAAAAAAAAATGTGATTGTAGTAGTGACAGTGGCTACAGTACAGTGATAGAAGTGGTCGTAGTGGTAGCAGCTATAATGTTAGACGGTAGTTGTAGATTTAGTTGAAAAAAATTTAAAAACAAAAAAACATTTTCCTTGCAAATAAATTCATTTTTTTGTTGGCCATTTGTTTCCTTACTCAACTTTCCATAGTTGTCTCATCTTTCTCGGTGACCATTGCAGTTGCTTAGGCTTTGTTTGGCAATGAATTTTTTAAACTAAATTAGTCACAAAAAGTCAAAGTAGATTAAAAAGCTAATAAAATAAAATATTATATTTAAATCATAATTATTTCATTTTTTTTCTCATAAAAGTCAAAAAAACTAATCTAAATAAACTTTTTAACCGGAGCTAAAATAACTACGAAGTTAAAAAACCAACTAAAAAACTAATTGCCAAACGGCAACTAAGGCCTCGTTTGGCAAGTGGTCATTTTAGCTAAAAAATCAAAAAATCAATAAAAAAAATAAAAAAGTCTATAATTTTTACCCTACAAACCTATACACAGTGCCTTTACGTGATGTGTGCTAGATTCAATGTAAAGAGACCCTTTTGCCCCTTATTGATGTGTCTTTATTTCGTTTTTACCCCTCCTTTATGCCAAACATTAATGGGAATATTATCAGAGCCATCAGAGAGGGCGTACTATGCAGAGTTATTCAGCTACATCAAACACGCAAGATGAAGAGGCCCCTTCGTTCAAGGCCACAAAATAGTAGAAGCTCTAATCTAAAGAGGAAGACGAAGCAAGCGACGACGAGAGTCGGCGAAGGCCAACGGAAAAGTAGTCCCTCCTCCGACGATCCCCCCAACCGCAAGTATGCTCTTCTTTCCTTGTGTGTGCCAAATACGAAATATATTTTCTGTGAATCAAAGGAACACCCACTATACGAATCTCAAAAATCTGCAACTTCTAAACTACCCATAAAACCAAAATGACCTTTCTTCTACCCCAGTGCTCTCTCTCTCTCTCTCTCTCTCTCTCACCGCTTTCCAATTTCAATTTCTCTTCTAAATTCAGACTTTGTTTGGGTACTTGAAAAGAAAGTTCCCTAAAAACAAGAGAGGGTTGTTTGAGGGCTTCTTTTGAACTACCTAGCGCACTTTAGCAATAATCGAGTTGTTTGGTGGTGGGGGGGTGTAGATCTACTAAAGTATGCTGACAGTGGAATCATTTTACCTGGGGTTAAATCTCGACCACGTGTTTGCAAGGCAAGAGTAATGGTAAACTGAGCTGATCTCATTTTTTTTATCCATGATTTTTACATTTTTCTTTGTTTTCTTTACGACAATTTGGAAAATAATGGTAAACTAAGCTCATTTCATCACTATTGTTGAGGCTTGAAAGATGGTGAATCCACTGCATCTATTTTGGCCATTTTGCCTTGGTTTGGGAAATTTTCTGATCTTCTTTGTGTTTTTGGGATTTTTTTTTTTGCTTGAGTCTACTATTTTTTCGCACTATAGCTTTTTCACTGGCTTGGAGATAGATTTTGTGTGATATGGACATAAATATATCAATAAAGATTTATGTGATTGTTTTGGTAAATTGTGATTTTTTTTTTTTTTTTTTTTTTTTTTGAATAATTTTTGTATTATGAAATTTTATAAACAATCACCCAACCCATCCTCTATTTTTTTTTTTTCATTTGTGAAAGATTTTGAGCCTACTATTCTTCTGTCAAGATTTTGAACGATTTTTCTTTTTATGTCAGTAGAGGATCACCTGTAAAATACTATTCATTTTATATTGTATTTATTTTTTTTTTGTGTTTGATCGCCTCTAAAATACTATTCATTTTATCGCCTCTAAGATTTCTTTCATGCAGTAGAGGATCACCTCTAAGATTTTTGGTTCTGTTTAATTTTTTTCATTCTGTCAAGATTTTTGAAAAATAGAGGATCATCTCTAAAATACTATTCATTTTATAATTTTTATTATATTACAAATAACATTTAATATGTATGATTTTTATAAAATTAGCATCATTTATTAGGGTGAAATTATATTTTACAAAAATTTCAAAATTAAAATATTTGTTATCGAAAAAATATTATTCATTTTTTACAGCAATTTTTTAGAGAAATGTTTACAAAAGAAATTGATGATAACAAGTTGGAGTTTGCATGAATAATGAGATACTCTTTTGATAAACACTTTCATCCTCTAATGAATAGTGTTGGGTTAGAGATGCTCTAAGACAGTTGCAAATTTGCAGGGTACAGCTTGTTAGGTAATTTTTTTGGTTTTAGGGAGTTCCTATCCTGTTTCACAAAGGGAAACAGATGCATCAGACTCACAATATTTTAAAGAGTAATTTGCATATGTAATGGTCTCCAATTGGTATCCAAAAGTAAAAAAAAAAATTTGTTTCCCAGTATAGCAATCCCGGTTTTGCCCCAGCCTTCATTGTGTTCCGGACTTGGGTTCCGTGATTGAATATTGTATCCATGTCTTGTTTTTCTCCTTTGACCCTTGGTGTTTGAGTTTTAGAACTTGTTGGGCTAGTTTGGAATAGGGTGGTTGTAGTTGGGTTAGATTGTTGTTGTCCAGGTTTTGGCCTCTTCGCTCGAACGAGGCTTCTTGCGCTCCAGCGAGCTTTTTGTAATTTGTTTCTTAGCTCGAGCGAGGTTTCTTGTGCTCGAGCGAGAATTAGGAGTTCTCAGGTTCCCTTCCAAACACAGCATTTCTGGGGAAGATGAAGTTCTTTACTCAAGCGAGGCTTCTTGTGCTCGAGCAAGCCTTGTGTTATTTGTTCTTTCGCTCAAGCGAGGCTTCTTGAACTTGAGCGAGCATGTGCGTCTGTGGTAGACCTGAAGCTTTGCATTGTGCGCTCAAGCGGCGCTTCTTGCGCTTGAGCGAGGTCACTTGTTGTGTTTGCTCACTCGAGCGAAGATCGCGTATATCAGTTCGCAGCAGCTCATTTTTTTACACAGAAAATTGAGATATTTTCACCTTAAAACCCTAATTCAGGACCTTCTCTCTCTAAAATACTCTCTCTCTCTACAAATACTCCTAAATCTAAGTATCTCTCAACCCTAGTTCCTTTGTTAAAGTGTTGGAGCATCTTAAGGGCTTTCCTTTGATTCGAGTCAAACCGAATTTGGGGCAATTTTTAAAGTTCTTCTTCATCTCCTTTGAGCTTCTGCACTTGAGGTAGGGATACTTTACACTTTGTTATGATTTTTAACCTAGTTTTTCGTTATTATGTATAAGTGATGAGACTTGGAAGTGATTTGGGTAAAGTTAGGGTTTGGGTTCAAGTTAAAAAGAGGGGTTTCCATGATTGGTGTTATATAAAATGAATATGGTGTTTAGAAATGAAGTTCCCATGTGTTAAAACGGTGAGATTTAGCCTTTGGATTGATATTTGAAAAAGAGGGAGATTTACCTTAATTTCTGTTGAATAGTTATTTTGAATAAATAACGAAATTGGCATGAGGAATGTGAGATTGAGGGAAAGAACGAATAAATGGTGTAGTTGGATTCGTTTAATCACACACATATGAAAATTTGATAAATTATTTGTTATAAAGATTGTATATCTATTTAGAAATATCTGTTTTGGGCTATCGGTAGAGGATAACCATGATTGTTGTAGAAATTGTATGTGGATTAGGTGAATTGAAACTAATCATTTAAATTATGTCATTGAATATGACGGTATGATTAAGTCATTGAATATGTGTTATGGATAGTCATTGTATATGACGATGCTTTTAAATACATTGTATATGTATCATTGTTTGGAAGGAGATATGAGATGTACTCCATTGTTTGGGAGGAAATAGGGGATGAACTCCATTTAAAATTAAGTTGGCCGGAGTGTCTAGGGTGAAAGTCTTGAAACCTTATATACATATCGGTGCCGATTCCCTCGGATGAAAATTCTGTAAAATGGCAAAATTGAAGTGTTTGAATAATAGCTGTATTGAATTGTGAATCATTGAGTTGTAGTCTCATTTGGATTATTTAGATAACAATGAACTTGTCTCATGAATTGACTTGGAATTAATTGAATTAATATGAAATGAATAGTTGGAAATGGATCGAGATATGGGTATCAGTATTGAAAGATCATGGAAAGAAAGTAAGTTGGTTCTGAATGTGGAACATTTATCTAGCACTTATATCTTAGTTGAACCTCATATATTGTGTTAGTCTATCTCTACTGGGTTTTGGTTCACCCTACTTGGGAAACCATTTTCAGGTACTGGTGATATGTTTTCTCCAAGGACATAGCTTGGGAGAATTTAGGAGCTGGAGGCTCTACTTTGTTATTATGTGTTTAAATGTTTATTCTAGCCAAGGGCTTTTTATGTATTGAGCTTATGACTCTCTCTTTTGTTGTAACCAAGTAATATCTTGGAAAGATGTAAGCCCGAAGGGCATTTGTTTATGTTGAACCCTCTTGTATTATCAACTTCGCATAATGAAATGATTACTCACACTCTGATTCATGTAATTGCTTTTTATGCTTTCGATTATATCTATGGTATTATTTTGGGGGTGTGACACCCAGGTTCAGAACCTTCTGTAAGGAGTACCAAGGGAACAAAACATGACTATCTCACTGGAAAAATCACCCAGCATGGAAAAAAGATTAAAAAAATAAATAGCTAAAGAAATACAGTATTTGTCTATTACGCAGTGGTATTCATAGTAACTTGGTCTTTATCATGTTCATTATCATACCATAACTTGGTGTTTATCATGTTATTGTATTATTTTGATTTTTTGTGTTTGATGTCCAAACAAAAAATCTACTCTATACAAACTTGTTAGACTTATTGATTTTCATGATTATTTTGATTTTGTTTATGATTTATTTGGAAGAGAAAAATAGATTTAAATCTTATATTATATACCATTTTTTTCTCTATCCTAATCATATGTTTTAGAGTGAAAAAATTGCGCTTAATCAGATGTTATTTTCAGCCCAAACAGAGCCCAAAACAAAGTCCAAAACAGCCAGCACAGCAAAAGCCGAAACAATCCAAGCCCAAAGAGGGTCGGACGACCGGTCAAGTGTTTTTGGCCCAGTTTTGCTCCAGTTCAATTTTGGTTCTCACCAGTTGTCAACCCAGCAGTATCCTTGACATCCGCGGAAATTATCCTTGATAACCGAGACCCTACCGGACATCTGGGTAGATGCCCTTAAGAACAAAATTTCAGTTTGGACATCCGGGTGGGTGATCACTCTGCACTACAATGACCTTTTTTCAAAAATAGTTATTATCAATCAGACCATCTTTCAACTCCTGAAAATCTGAAGATCTAATCATGTATGGGGAAAACAAATTTGAGTAGAATAGATCTTACGCAATCTTCTTCACACAACAGTCAACGCTTGATGATCTTCCCTTATTAAATAGCAGAGCTTCTACTAAACAAAGAACAAGCAAGAACTCAAGCAAAAAAAAAAAAAAGTTTTCTCTGATCTATCATCACTCTTATCTTTCTCTATTCTCTGAAGTGTTCTTCATTTGGGTTTCATTTTTCCTTTAGAAATTTCAGTGAGCATTAGCTTTAAGCATATATACCTGAGAAAGTTTCATTTTTATTGATATAAACTCAAAGCTTCAATATTTGTAATGTTTCTTGAGAGAGTTTCATTTCAAACTTTCTGTGAAAGCTAAACCTATCATCCAAATATTGTAAGAGTGTAGTACACTCAGGTTACTTGACTCTTTGAATGCGATTAAGAATCAGCTAAAGAGGGCAAGGTTTTGGACCTGGTATAGTCTTTGTAAAATCTGTGGAGGATTGCTCCATTTGTGAAGAGCTTGCTAGCACCCCTGTGAAGCTAGAAGATAGTGGAAAATCTCAAGTAAAGTTGAACCACTATAAATTTGTTTGTCTCCTCTTCTCTAACCTCTTTATTTTCACTGCTATGGATATCTGTTAATGAATGTGTTAACATTGAATTTCTACCCACTGTGTTAGCTAACTCCATTGCAAATTTATCTAAGTCATTATATGTTATTTATTTCTATTAAGACTTCAATCACATTATTAATATATTGCCTTAGTTGATTAGTCATTCCTCTTTGTTAAATTCATCTTTATGCTTAATCTTTTGTGTTAGTAATCTATTCTTCATCAATCAACAATCTGCTTCACTGGTTTAATTTTTATTAGGGTATTATTAATTTATATTTGTAGAAACCTAATTCACCCCCCTCTTAGGTTGTTTTTTAGGTAATAATTGGTATCAGAGCTTAGACTCCTGCTTTAGATTTAACCATCTGAGAGTTTTGATCAATGACAACCTTAGCTAGCACTAGTGTTGAAGGACAAGCCATTAATAGGCCACCCTTGTTTGATGGAAACAACTACAGCCATTGGAAAGATAAGATGACCCTATACCTTCAAGCCACTGATTATGCCATGTGGATTATTGTCACCAAAGGTCCAAAAATTCCTACCAAATTAGTAGAAAATATCAGTGTACCTAAAACTGAAGATGAATATGATGAGAGGGATCACAGATTATTGCAAGCCAATGTTAAAGCCAAACTCACCCTTGTTTGTGGATTAGACTCTAAGGAATATAACAGGATTTTGAGCTGTGATTCAGCAAAGAAAATTTAGGACAAACTTGAGATAACGTATGAAGGCACCAACCAGGTGAAGGAATCTCGAATTGATATGTTTGTTCATAGTTATGAATTATTTAAAATGAGCTCTGATGAACCTATTTCAAGCGTGTTTACTAGATTTACTGATATTGTAAATTCTTTGAAATCTCTTGGAAAAATTTATACTAACAACGAGCTGGTGGGAAAAATTCTTAGGTGTTTACCAAAGAATTGGGAAACAAAGGTCACCACCATTATAGAAGCTAAGAATCTCTCCACACTTGGATTGGATGAGCTCATGGGCTCCCTTATGACTCATGAGATCACTATGAAAGGACATGAAGATGTTGAAAATAAAAAGAAAAGTGGTATTGCATTCAAAGCTTCATCCCATGAAGAGGAAGATGAAAACTCTAGTGAGGATGAAAGCAATGGCATGTTTAGTAAAAATCTCAAAAAACACTTCAAGAAAAACAATCATGGAGGAAGAAGACCTTTCAAGAAAAAGTACAACAAAGATAACAAGCAAGAACATATTATTTGCTATGAGTGCAAAAATCTGGAACACATGAAGATGGATTGTCCAAAATTGAAAAATCATGGAAAAGACTACAGAAGGAACAAAAAGGCCATGGTAGCAGCTTGGGGAGAAAGTGAAGATGGAAGCTCAAGTGATGAAGCTAAAAATGAAGTAGCCAACTTGTGTCTCATAGCTCTTGAAGATGAAGACTCTACTCAAGATGAGGTAATTACTCTTTATGAAGAACTTGAGAGTGCATTCTATGAATTACAAGATGAATTTAGAAAAGTTTATGCCAAAAATAATGTGTTTAAGAAATCTGTTACATCTTTATCTAGTAATATAGAAGAATTAAAGAAAGAGAAAATTGTTTTGAAAAATGATTTTGACACCATCTCTAATGAGAAAATTGATTTGAAAAACAATATTGATGATTTGACAAAAACACTAGAAAATTTTGTAAAAGGTAGAGATAATCTCAACTTGCTTCTTGGAAATCAAAGATGCATTTTCGATAAAGCGGGCCCTATTAAGAAACAAAATAATCTCAATACAATTTTTGAAAAGGCAACTCTCATGACACACCCTCATATTACTTGTCATTATTGTAGACAGGAAGGTCATTATATATTTTCTTGTCCATTCAAAAAGAATATGAACATGGGCATTAGAAAGATTTGGATTGTTAAGGAAACTAATAAAACTAACCAAGAATGACCTAAGAAATTATGGGTACCAAAATCCAACATTTGATTGTCATTTTGTAGGTATGCCTTAAGTCCAAAGCTAAAGAAGAGAAGTGGTACCTTGATAGTGGATGCTCTAGACACATGACCGGAGATAAATCTTTCTTCACTACTCTACCATCCAAAGATGGAGGATTTGTCACTTTTGGAAACAACAGGAAAGGAAAAATTATTGGTATTGGTAGCATCGGTATTTCTCCTAACCCCTCTATTGAAAATGTTCTCCTTGTAGATGGACTTAAGCATAGCCTACTTAGTATTAGTCAATTATCTGATAAGGGTAATCGTGTTATTTTTGATAAATCACATTGCACACTTGAAAGCACAATTGATCACAAAGCTCTATTTATTGGTAATTGCCTTGATAATGTTTATGTTTTTCATCTCATTGATCTCTATACTAGTAATGTTAAATGTTTATATGTTAATAATGATAATAGTTGGTTATGGCATAGAAGACTTGGTCATGCTCATATGGATTTAATTGCTAAACTTTTGAGAAAGGATTTGGTCATTGAATTCCCAAAAATTAAATTTGAAAAAGATTGACTTTGTGGTGCTTGTCAACAAGGAAAACAAACCAAAACTTTTTTTAAAACAAAATCTCATATTTCCACGACTAGACCTCTATAATTATTGCATATGGATTTATTTGGTCCCTCAAGGACATCTAGTCTTGGTGGTAAACATTATTGTCTTGTTGTTGTTGATGATTATTCAAAATTTACATGGGTTATGTTTTTAGCACACAAAGATGAAAATATTTTCTTCTTTCACGAAACTCTGTCGTAGAATTCAAAATGAAAAAGGTTTTCTTATTACTAACATTCGAACCGACCATGGTAGAGAACTTGAAAATGAAAATTTTGAATTGTTTTATGATGAACATGGTATTGGACATAATTTTTCAGCTCCTAGGACCCCTCAACAAAATGGTGTAGTAAAAAGGAAGAATAGAATTTTAGAAGAAATGAGTAGAACAATGCTTTACGAAAATAATATTCCTAATTATTTTTGGGTCGAGGCCGTTCACACTGCATGCAAATATTTTAAATCATGCATTGATTAGACCTATTCTCAAAAAGACTCCTTATGAATTTTGGCATGATAGAATGCCCAACATTAGTCACTTGCATGTTTTTGGTTGTAAATGTTATGTGCATAATAATGGTAAGGACAACTTAGGTAAATATAATTCAAAATCTGATGAAGTAATTTTTCTTGGCTATTCCTTAACTAGCAAAGTTTATCATGTTTTTAATAAAAGAACTCTTGTTGTTGAAGAATCTATACATGTGACATTTGATGAAACTAACATCTCTTCTCAAAAGCAAGTTGCTAATGATGATATAGATTTGGGATCAAATATGGAAGATTCAAGTATCAACAACGACGAGGACCAATTGTGTGGGTTGAACAGAGAGGTTGAACAACCTATTCTCCTACCTCAAGAAGAAAAAGGAAACAATGATGATTTGCCAAGAGAATGGAAGTTTGTTTACAATCACCCTAAGGATTTAATCCTAGGTGATCCCTCCAAAGGTGTTGCCACTCCCTCTTCATTTAGAAACATTTGTGGTGACTTAGCTTTTCTTTCACAGATTGAGCCAAAGAACTT